AGAGCGTTCTGGGCCCCTGCTAAAGGATGGAGGACTGTGGACAGAACTGTGCTGGGCGGTGGGGAGGAGAGACTGGTCTTCCTGGGTGTGTCCTTCGTGTCCCGTTTTCTTTGTAACTACAGGCTCATTTATTTTTTTATTCTATTTTTGGGGACTAATATTAATGAAAACACCTATCTCAAGAATGGGCTTAACAGGGAACCTGGCTAGTACCAGCTTAAGCCAAAATGAGAAAGAAAATATTTCCTTGATTCGCATCTTCCATGTCCTCAGAGCTGTGAGCATCTTGTAGGGCGCGGAAGCAATTCAGTGTGGTTTCTATCCTACTCTCCTGGTTTCCGTAACAATTAGGAAGCCACAGTATCCGTTTGGGTTGCTCTCAGTGACATCAGGAAGGGCATCCCACTCACAATTCTGATTCTTGGATTGTCCTACACTTCCAAACTCCCTTCCGGCTGTGGCTGCCTTCCAACCTGCCTTTGTCCTAGCTGGTCCTGCTCCCTTGAACGCTCCTGTCCTTGTAACTTTGCTTTGCCTACTCCTGTCTATTTTCTTGAACATGATGCAACATTTCTATCTCCTATACAGAACTCTGCTAGTAACTTAGTAAAAGAAACTTGAACTTGTAATCTCCGAGGGAGCACCTCGTCATGGAAGCCTTCGCTGCTCTCTCTTCCCCCCAGTGTTTCCCTTCTGCTCTCATAGACCCCTGCTCCCCCCCCCCCAACTGCCTGCATGGTGCACGGATCAGAGACAAGTTTAAGGGCTTGCTGATGGTCTAGTCATCCCTTCGCAGAGGCCTAGAGCAAAACATATCAGAGCCAAGGGGATTATATTGGGGAGATTACAATAGGATTCCAGAAGGCCTGGAAGGAGCATGTGGGAAGGGCTGGAGTGATGGGGAAGCTGAGGAGAATGGATGGGTGACAGCAGAAGGGGAGGAGCCACAGCCTGTGGTGGGCCAGCCTGGGGAGGAGAAGGACCCCCTCTGGCAACAGGGCTGGACCCTGGCACAGAAAAGAGGAGGTGAAGGAGGGGTGCCAGGAGGGTGCTCGATCCTATAGGTCCCCGACTTGCAAAGATTTTTGGAACCTAACTCATATGAAGAAAAAATTTTTACTTTACAACCCAGCAAACACACATCCACACCCTATCTGGAAACACATTTCACAAAACACAAATCCAAGACACTGACATTTTCTGTGCTACTCGACTCAACTCCATGCCATTCTTTTTTGTTGCACTGTCTAAATTAATTTTATGACCATTGACAGGTCACAAGCCACAGTTTGTGTGTGTGTGTGTGTGTGTATGTGTTTTCTTCCAACACTTTATTTTGAAAAAGTTAAATCCACAGAAAAATAAAAGACTAGAACAACAAATATTCCTGTATTCTTCATCTAGTTATCATTTTGCCACATCTGAGCAGTTCTGTGTGTAAATAACACACACACACACACATATATATATATGTGTGTGTATATGTATATATGTGTATATGTGTATGTGCAATTGACTCGCATAATTCACATAGTTATATTCTATAAAATAGCAGCAAATATTGAATCATTGCGCTTAGGAGAAATACAGGGTTAGGTTCCTGTGAGCCTCTGGTCAGATTTTCATTAACGTTGTTTTATGTGTGTTTCTTTTAAAATACATCTTATTCAGTGTATGTTGTTGTTTCATTAACATTGAACTCATAGCCAACAGCAGTATTACTCATGCCTGAACGATCCCTTAACCGGGAATCAAAACCAAGACCCTTTGGTTCATGGGCCGATGCTCTAATCACTGAGGAAAACTGGCCAGGTTGATATAAAGTTTTCTTAATTTTTTTAAAAAAATACATACAGTCCTTCGCATTATTCACCAAAGCCATATTTGCAAACTTGCCTACTTACTAAAATTTATTTGTAACTGCAAAATTGGTACTTGTGGTGCGAAAACCTTGAGCCTCTCAACATACACATTGCAGGCTGAGGTCAAACAGCTGAGGTCTAGCAGCTGCCTTCTTATTCACTCATTTTATACCATAAACGTGTCTCTTCACAGTCTGGTGCCACTTTTTTCACATTTTGGTCTTTTTGCTGGAGATTTTGCTGTTTAAAAGGCCAAATGCACAGTGTTAAAATGCTATCTAGTTTCCTAATCATAAGACTATGATGTGCCTCGCAGAGAAAATCATGTTAGAAGAGCTCCATAGTTTGAAAAGTAGTTCTGGTTACATAGAGGCTGTTCTGTCAGATGCAAGAGAGGGGAAATGGAGGGCCTGGAGAGAAGAGGCAGGAATCACAACTGTGCTGAAGACCCAACCCTGATGAGCAGCGGCCTCCCTCTTAGCAGAAGGCCTGTGTTTGTCCAGGAGCCTTCAGCCTGCCAAGAGCACGAAGAAGCCCGGTGTTGGTGTCTGGGGAATGAGTTTTTATTTTCAGCGAAAGTGGGACAAAGTTCCTTTAGGATAGATATAACTTCTTTTAAGCCTTGGGCTTGAAGTTGGAATTTTCTAAATGGTTAGGCAATTGTTATGGATAGTAATAAAAGGCAGAATAGCTAACGCCTGACATAGTGTTTTTCTGTGCCAGTGCCACTAGATGATTTAATATTTAATATGATTGTGGTCAAACCAAGTCAGAATGGAGCAAGCCTGAAGCATTTCCAGCGTTGCAGCCAGGTGGCCAGGAGCCCAAAGTGATATAACCATGGTTTACTCACCAGTCTTGAGAGTAACCGTAGGGGCTGCTTGAACTCTCAGGCACCACTTGGTATTTCCTAACAACGATCTGCAATGCATTTGGGAAGCCCATTTGAATCATCCAATTAGGTCATGTTTTTCTGAGGGGCCTTGATGCAGAAATGCTGCCAGTGGCTTTGTCAGAGTTCACTTTACAAGGCAGTTTTGGTCTCTTCCTTGTAAAGCGAGGTCCACTCTTGGTCATTCATTTGATTTTCCTAACAGCTTGGCTGATAGTGCTACTCCTTGCAGAATTTAATGACTTGGGCAAAGTCACAAAAAGCATTGAACAGACACCATGAGCCTAGACTTGACTTCCCAGTCAGATGCCCCTCTTACTGTGGCTTCGGGAGTTAAGCAGGAGTGGCAGGTCATTAATTGGTCAGGCGGTGCCCCCATGAGCCATTGCCAGCTTGAGTTTCTGGGTTGGGCTCCAGCAGTCCTTGTCTGATCCGAGAGAGGTGCTGTGTGTCAGACTGGAGGCACCCACTAAAGCTCTTTCATGACTTTCCACAAGGTCAGGAGGACTCACTCCACTTGTCCCACCTAAAGTGATCCAATGGCTTGGAGGTTAAGGCCACTGGCTTAGAATTGGACTGAGATTGGAATTCCAGCTCTGCCTCTTACTCACGTGTGACTTTGAGTTTATTATTACTTTCCCCCTATTGATTTTCAGAGAGAGTGAAAGGAAGAGAGGAGGGGGAGAGAGAGAGAAACATCAGTGTGAGAGAGACCATCTACTTGTTGTCTCCTGCATGCACCCTGAATGGGGCTGGGGATCAAACCTGCAACCCAAATATATGTCCTTGACTGGGAACCAAACCCACAAGCCTTCGGTTCACAGGCTGATGCTCTGACCACCAGCCAGGGACTTGAGCTTGTTATTTAACCTTGTTCAGTGTTAAGTCTTTTCATCTGTGGATAATCCTAGGACTTACTGCTATGGCCTATTATGGTGAAGATCAAGTTATTAGATGTAAGGTACTTAGATTACTCTATAGTGATGAGCTGTTATTATATAACTAGAGGCCCGGTGCACAAAATTTGTGCACAAGTAGGGTCCCTAGGCCTAGCTATCAGGGCCAATTGGGGCCTTCTGGCTGCCGACCAGGGCCTTCCTTCCCCCAGCTGCTGGGTGCCAACTGGGGCCTTTCTTTGTTCCACATCACCCCCTGGTGGTCAGTGTACATCATAGCAAGCAGTCGAACTCCTGGTCGCCAACCAGTGGTCCGCAGACCACTGGTGGTCCATGAGGTCTGAAAGGTTGGCGATGCTGATATAGGATGTGTTTAGTAAGCACTCAATAAATAGACATTGTGGTGGCACTGGGACATTTCCATGAACAAGTGGTTTTTGTGATAATGCTTAAAGAAGCTAAAAAAAACTTCCCTAACTACAGAAGCCCGTAATTCACACTTACGATGCATTCCATAAGATAGCTTTCCATTTGCCATTAACATGCATTGAGGTAAGTACTATAAAAACAGAGGTAAGAGATATGTTTCTTACCCTGAAGGTACTTATACTTTGACTTGGGTGGCAGGTGGAGATGTAGGGTGCAAAAATCCATGCATAAAAGATAAAAGCTGGAA